ATTAGTTGAATGTAATGTTAAATGATAATCAAAAGCTGTTATGTAATGCAAACTCAAACATTAACCTAGTTACGTACTAAAAAAAAAACAAACAATTAAGAGTAAAAACCAAGTATACCACATAAAGGAGAAATCAAACAAAATACAAAATAGGCGAAATCACTGAAATATACCTCATGTAAATTGGGTCCATATATACCAATAGAGATTAAACTCCTCTTATCTTAGTCTCTTATTCATTTGATTTTTTAAAATCAAAGGAATAAGATACTGTACCTGATTAATTTTTTAACGTACTATACCTCTTTTTCAATTTTGTTAACAAAAAAAAAAAAAAAAACATTTTGATTGCGGTAGCTAAAATTAACCAGGAAAAGCAATTTTTTAAACTTGATTATCAAAAGAATGCACAGATTACAGAGGTTTATTTAGGTATGCAAGTTCCCAATATTTTTAATCAGTTAGTAGAAATTTTAATTTTTTCAACACACTATACGTGAAAACATAATTAAATTTGCAGCAATGAGACTGCAGTTGTTTAAACCATTCTATTCATAGTAAAGTTTCAATAATTAGCTAAATCAGTTGTTTCAAAACATTATTTTTTTAAGTTAACTTTTTGCACTAAATTTTTTCTTAGATAACCCCTAGACTGCATGATACTTATTAGGGAAAATCTGCAATTAGCTATGGAAAAGATTTCACTTATGGTTATTCCATAAATGTATCCTTTAAGAAAAAATATTCTGGACATAACATTCAGATTTTGTTTATCCTTAATCCATACAAAAGACTTAAAAAATTTAAAGATTAAGACTCTTATGAATTTAATTCTAACACAACAAAGAAAACTCAATAAAGATAATAATGTACACCTACTGGTAATTTAGCTTCTACAATGCCACAGTCACAATTTCACACACGTTAAAGCTACAAGCTCTAAAATTTGCACCCATAATAATATACAATGTCAATGTGTCAGGTTAAAAGATATTTGTTCTATGGTAAATTTATTACTTTAGTAAATTTTTCTCAATAGAAAAAAAAATCAATTTAATAAAATATAAATAAAATTAGCTATATCACAGCAAACATTGTGATTTTTCTAAATAAATATGTGAATGCACTTAAATATATACCTATAGTTACTTAAAACTAAAAATATTTGTTATTTTTATAAATTACATAAAACTCATTAAAATCTTTCATTTTTCAATAAATTTGATTTTAGACTTAAATGGAAAAAGACTATAATCAGGTGTAGTCCAAGAGCATCCTCTTTAAATTGATTGTAATACATAATACAAGGTTTTACATTCAAATGTATATTTTTTTACAAGCGATTACTGATTGTGTAAACATTACAAACATACAATACACTCACTAATTTGCTAGCTAGCATCACAACTCTAATCTAAATGTTAGTGAAAAGTTATAAAAGGTACATAATTGTACATAACATGTTTCAAAAGAGAAATTTACACAAGTGTATTTCAATTAAGTTTTAAAATAATGCACCAAAGGGCAAGATATATGATTGTGATATGTAAATTGCAAAATAGACACAATATTGAACATCATTTTTATGCTGTAGGAAAATACTGGAAAACATATATTTAAAAAAATGTTTTAGAAAATGGGAAACCAGCTTTAAAGAAAGCTTCCAGGTATCTTTAATTTTATTTTGCTTAATAATTCAGCAAATTGGTGTAAAAAGATTCCCAAATAGAGATAAGAATATATAAAATATTTATTCTTATAAAAAATGCAGTGTAAAAATTATTTATAAAAACAGTATTGAAATACATTGCACAAAAATTGTGCTTAAAAAAACGTGTATCTATTTATTAAAGTATTATTAGTATTTTGTTTACATTATAAGCATTTTTATTTTATAAAATAAGTTATGGAAACATTAATATGCGTCCATTATTGCTTTTCATTTCAAAATTTATTTATTTATTATCTAGATTTATATTGAAAATAGTTAATGTTAAAATTATTTTAGGTAAAAACTAAATGCAATTGAAATTAAAGCAAATTTTCCATCTAAAACATAGGTATCAATATTTTATAGCATTTTTTTCAAGCATTTATAACTAATGTTTGTATAAATGCACAATACAGTGAAAAATTAGCTAATATTCAAAACGATAGTTTAAAATTTATTATAAATTTAAGAACACGTTATTGAAAATGTTTAACAATAGTGCTATGTAATGGCATATTGATGCAATAGGTGCAACAGATTGTTGATTTAGAAGTGACTTTTAAAGAATAATTATATCAATATGTACAGTGGTATATAGCACAAATAAAAATAAACTTACAAAAAAATAAAAACTTGAAAATTTATACAGGTTCAGAAAATATTTATGAAATTGCAATACAATATTTATAATTGATACAATAGGTTATCAAGTATGGTTTTGATATCAACAAACAATATGTAGGAAACAATTAATTTTTAGAGTAGCATTAATATCCAATTGCAGCATTTAAAACATTTAAATACAAATAAAACATGATTTACTGAGGTAAACTTCAAAAGTGAAATAAAATTTAATTTTTATTTTTAACAAGGTCTTTAAAAATGTAAGGGTAAAATACTTATATTAAGGGTGATAATTTCAGAACAACCTGTATATATGTTATGGCCAGTTCCTGAAAAGGTGTTAACATATTTAATGACATACAGAAATACTTTTTAATTCTCTGAGCTTCAATTTTAATAAACAATAACTTTGACAGCTTTCCTGTGCAACAAACTGATTTGTTTCCATATTATTCAATGGGAAGTAAAGGTATACAAATATTCCAAAAAAGTATACAAATATTCCAAAATGCTTTAAGGGTTAATAAGCATTGTAATTTAAATGTGATATATGTTATAAATTAAATAGAATAAATTATTTTATAAAATAATGTAGTAAAAAAATGAAACTTCATACTTGATAACATATTTTACATACAATGAATCTTTATACATTTAAATCACCTATTCATTAAAACTTAAAACCGTTTCAATTTACAAGAGATGAACTTTTTAGTTTCATGTTTGTCTCATTTTGTTAAACATTTTTTACAATTCTTACATCACATATTTGTATCTTGAAACATGAAAAATGTTTTACCAATTAAATGCCCAACATTAGAGTTGAGTACCTTTTTATTATCATGAACCAGGTTTTAATACATTAATAACTTTCACTAGCAGTTCATATTTGAATATTATGGCATAAAATTAAGTGATTTTAAGAATTTTTAAAAAGGGAGCTTCTGACAATATGGACAAAGCATTCCATTATTTAAAAACTCTGCTTTAAAAAAAATTATATAAGAGTAACTTAACATTTTTTTTCCTCTTTAGGACCATGAGACACCTATTGCAGTGAATAATTTTTGGAAAAAAAAAATTTTTACCATAATTTTATACCACAATAAAAACAATAATAGTTAAATGTAATATAAATATATTATTTTGGAAACTTAGATGAAATTAATAATCTAAATAAATTTATCAGTCAAAATACAAATAATTCTTCAAAATTTAAATAAAACACAATAATATAAAACTTCGACTTAATTTTTCATATATTACAGAAAAGAAATTTAAATAACTTTAAATATTTTATTTAAATTGTATAAAGAAGACGAACTTAAATTTACTGCAAGTCAGTACAATGCCGTTCACGTACAACAAAATTGGAAGTATGTCAATAATTTAATTGTAAACAATTCTCACATATAGCAAATAAATTGTGGTTTCCAATGTCACATATAGTTTAAAAAAATTAAAATATAAAAATCCCCTTAAACTATATTACATTTCTCAACACATTCTCCTGCACTGAATTAAAAACACTGAAATATATTTATTCGTTATATTCAGTGAAATAAAACAAAACTAAATTTTAAAAATCAAGCAATTCATATTTTAAAAAATTAAATAATTTTATTATTTAATGTTTATTAATTTAAAGTCAATTATTTAAAAAAATAAATACATTATATTTAAAAAAATAATGTGGCAGTACAAAGTGTAAATGCTTTACAAGCTTGGTTAGTTTGATCATAAAAAAAGGAAAATTCAGTCCTAATTTATATAATTTTTTTAATTATTGTTGTATAATTCGGAATTTAATTTTTATTAATTATTTCCATAACTAATACACAAAAAAATAAAAATAAATGTAATACAGTTGTTATAATTTTATAATAAAATTGCAACCAAAAGAGAAAAAAAATTCTAGTAATTACACAGCAAGTGTAACTGAGTATGATTGAATAAGTAAAGGACATTTAACCATTTAGATGTTGGTATACTTGAATTTTTAATATTTATTTCATACATTATGAAATATTTGTTTTATGTTTTTATGGAATATTTAAGCTTAAAACTCCAAAAAAAAACAAATTTTTTTTTGATATGACATAAAAATAAAAAAATTTATTTTTTAAAAAAATAATCTGTTTTATAAGAATAATTAAGCAAAGAATTGTGAGTTTTAAATAACTAAAAAAAAGTTTAAGAGAAAGTAAAGATTTTTTTACATGAAAATGTTGTAAGAATAAGGAAAGTTTATAAAAGTTGATAAAAAAAAAAAACTAATGTTTCTTTTGGTTGAAAAAATTCAATATTTTAATTATGTTATATATATAAACACTAAACTGCATTTTCAATAAAAAAATATACCTGAAGCTTAGAAGGTAATTAATAATACTAACAACTAAGATAATTGTACTTTTTAGAATAAAAGTTTAAAAAGTATAATTTTAAATTTCTGACAAACCAAAGCTAAGCATATCTGATGTAAATCACTGCATACTATAGTTACTATAGCAAATAATATTTAAAAAATATATTAAAAGGGGAGGATGTTCAGAACAAATAAAATTAGAATATTACATTATAAATCAAGACAACAAAAACTAATAAAGAAAAAAACTTTTAACAACACACGAACATTTAAGTAGAGCACAATAGCACAGCCTATTACAAAACAATATGACAAGCATTTGCTTGCATTTGACCAGAATTGTAAATAGCCAACTACATGTGGCATATGAAAACCACGAAAAATCGTCATGAAAACTTAGGTGAAGAGCGATCATTACAAGTTACTCTCCGAAGCCTTTTACCACGCTTAATTTGGTCCATCAATGACTCCCTTGTAATTTGAGGAGCTAAGCGTCGAAAACTAGAATTCCAAGAATGGATAATCTTATCATTCTTTAACCAGGGAGCTATATGAGGCTTATCATCATCCTGAGACTCCAAGCCAGAAAGTTTCTGATGCTCTGCCAATCTTGCATTCAATGCTGCAACAAATGATTTTTTCAATATTATTTCATTGTCCGATATATGTCCATTGCTGTTTTTCTCTTCAGTCGAGCGAACCCACTCTCTTGAGCAACGTGTCAAGTCGCCCTGTGACAGACAATCCTTCAAACGCGGTTTAGTATTAGATTGTTTATGGATGTTCTGGGACAACATAGGTTTGGCATTAAATGTATGAGCAGATTTTTCCTTCTTTGTGATTTGAGAATAAAGATTTTCACTGGCAGTCGTGGTGTCATGTTTTGAGAAAATATTTCTCCGATCTTCATTCTTTGAAGTATTTCTAGGTGGCACAATAGGTGCAGCATCCTGTTGGGGCTTCTTCAAGAGTGGTTTTGGTTGCTGCGTTAAAGCAGAATTAAGGTCCTGTATTAGACGTGCTCTGCTGTCTGATACATCAGTAACTATACTGCTGTCAGAACTTAATGAAGAATCCCTACTGGGAGTTGAACAAACACTATTTCTTTCAGGGCTGGGATTAATTTCAACATGTCTCAAAGAACCATACTTTTCTATGGGAGAAGATAGGGTTGAGTGGCTCTTCTTAAGCTCCCTGAGACTGGGGGAGTAACGAACTTCACCTGCTCCAGAGCTTAATGATTGGGAGCTATCATTCTTTTTCAAAGAACCTTCAAATACTGTACCGTGACAAGAAGTAGAAGTTATGGAAGATGAACGTCGCACTGGAGTAGGAGGCTTGAAACCTGCAGCTGAACCTACCCTTTGTAAAGTATTAGCTTTACGTGGTGGTATAAATGCAGGTGACATACCTATATATGAAAAAATAATAATAATAAATATAAATGTATCAAAAAATCATTTAAAGTAAAAAAAGCTATACAAAGACCAAATGGTTCAGACTGAGCTATGATGACTCAGGGGATAGAGCATTCGTCTTCCAATGAGGTGAACCGGGTTTGAATCCCAAGGACGGCTGGGTGATGCGAATTTCGCTGACATAAAATATCCTCAGTGGTAGACGAATCATGGGTTAGAGTACACCTAGCCGCTAGGCTAACCGTGGGAGGTTTTTGTGGTTTTCCTCACCATATAACACAAATGCGGGTTATTTCCATCAAAAAGTCCCCCACAAAGGCAAATTTCTCCCAATACTTAATCCAGAAGTTCCCTTGTCTTCTAGATTGTGTTCAAAATTACATATCAAAATTACAATTTCATGAGCCATTACAGGAATGCTTTGCTTTTTTTAAGATATGGAATAATAACAATAGAATAAAAGGGTAATAAGTAAAGTAAAGCATTGCACCCGCAACAGCATGCTGGTCAAAGGGGTTATGGAAGAGATGCCAATTGCTCCGGACACGCAAAAATAATTTAAAAAATGGTAAATAACTACAAACTAAAATCTGCAAATATTCTCATAATTTTGCTAACTTTTTAAAAGGTTTAACATGACATAACTGTAATTAAGTGGTGAATATATAAGCCTACGAATTATATAGAAATAGTGGTGGATAACAATCAAATAAACTGAATTTATTAAACAAAGAATCACAATTAATAAACTATCATACGAAAATATTTATTCATTGTCCGGAGCAAGTCGGCATCTCTGTTATGGAGGTTCAGCTGCACTATTACAAGATCAACTGCAGGACGATGGCAATGTAGTCAGCATTGTGCACTAACTGTCTTTACTTTCAAGACAAGCTGTTACTTATAGAACTGAAACTAGGTAGTTCTTTGAGCTGGTGTAGAATTCTGATATTACACAATGATGGCACAGAGCCTTAACCACTATTCTGCGACAATTCCCTAATAGAGATGATATGGCAAAAACAAGATACACACCTCTTATTAGGCAACTACAATGGTTTCTAAGAAGATACATCAGGGTGGCCACTCTCCAAATACAACCAAACTTCAAGAGATTTCCAGAGGAAAATTTTAGAAATGTACCAAATTTAAACGGTTTAAATAAGTAGAATTTTAAATTTTTTTATAAATTTATGAAAAAGAACTTATGTACATCACATTCGGCAAAAAAGTTTTTTCTTGATAAACATTTACTATTATTTCATATTTTAAAACTTTAATGTCTATTTTATCACTCTGTAAAACTAAATAAATAAAAATTATCATTAATTATTAAAGCTTAAGATAAACATTAATTTATTTTCAAGAATAAAATATTTAGCATTCTTATGACTTACTAAGTCTAACTTTAATACCAAAAGAAAAGAAAAGAAAGAAAGAAATCTTTGTTTAATAGAAAGTCAAAATAATTCATTAGATTTATTCAACAGAACTGCAACAATTAGAATAGCAATGATAACCAAGAATTGCATGATTATACAACTAGATAAGTTTTTATAAGTTAACTAACAGTTAATAATTGTAGTGCTTAAGAATAAATTGAATCACAATAGCCGTAAATTTATATGTGCTCATAGGTATAAATTTCCTTGAGGTTTTCCAGTGGTATTTTCAGAATACCAGAATTTCCCCCAATTTGAAAGAAAGTGGCCACCCTGCTCATGTGTGCAACCGATTGCCAAAGAAAGAGAAATACATCTACAGGAGTAATTGTGAGCCCAACTAAAAAATCCTGAAAATTTCTCTACTAAAATAATGAATTAATTACGCATTTCAAAAAATTAACGCCAAAATTAAAATATCAAGGATTAAATTTATAAAAATTTAATCCTTGATATTTTCAAAACATGAAATTCCAAATAAATTATATCAACATAATTTAAATAAATAATTATGCATAAGTTTACTTAAATTTCTAATCACATTTATTATTCTACCAGAAAACATATTTAAAAATGAAAGAGATACCAAGAATAAATTCTAGTTCTAATATTTCTAAATAAACTTAAAATTTTTGTATGCAGAAATGTGATCAATAATTTCATGAAATTTCTGGACTAAGGATTTCCGGAAACTTCCAGATCGTGTTTATCGAAAAATCCCGAAATTCCGATTTTTTCCGGAGCACTATCATCTCTGCATCTAGAATTATGAAAGAAAAGGGTGCACTGAAACGAGCCTTAATAGAAACTCAGGAGCTAAAATAAATTTAATTGTCTTATTTTTAATATTTTTAAAGAATGCTTGATAATAAAATTAGTATAAGATGATAAAAAAACACACATTTATGAGACTTTTTATCTATAAAAGAAGATATTAAATTTTTTGGGGCTACGAATCAGTATTAGAAAAATAGGCACAATACAAATTGTGCTGCTTTTTTTTCCTTCAAAATAACCAATGAAAAAGTGTATATGAACAAATTTAAAAGTAAATAATGTTAAGTCTAATACATATTTCACACTTACGTTTGCTAAGTCATAATACCTAAATTATGCTTAATAAGGGTACCTTAATAATGGAAATAATAAGCAATAAAATGAAAAAAAAACAAAAAATAATTTTTGGTTTTATTATTAACTAACCTGCAATTGACATAGGCCTCCTTTGCATTCCATTAAGAGCAAAAAACTCTTCATTGCATGAAACTGGCAAAGAATTCATTTGCCACTCTAAAATTTGGTCTTCATAAATACTACCTTCATGGAAAAAGTGACAAAATAATAAAACATGCTAATAAAATGTCCATGCAAAATAAAAATAAAAACTATAAAAAGAAAAATGATGAAACAAATAAATGCAGTGATGCTAAAAATAAGAAATAAAATGCATTAAAAATTAAGAAAAGAAGATAAATAAAAATAATCGACAAAATAAAAATAAGAATAATAAACAAAATAAAAATAAAGATACTCTTCTTTTTGGAATCTGATACAAAACCATTTTATAGTTTACAACGACAAAACAGAGAGTTCCTAACATTTTTGTACCTAAAAGCTCATTCTAGAATACCAGTAGGACAACTGGCACCATACATTTTATGAGGTGAATTTAAAGTAGGAATATTTACTTTCACATATCATTTTGTTTAAAATTGAAATATTTTTATTATGACAGGCATGTGTGGCCAAAGTTGGGGGCCACTGAACTAAAAAAATCCAATTTCTATTTTTGTCATGCTTTGGTTGATTTATATGGAACCAAAAAATGTTGACACTAAGAATTTTTCTTTTTTCTTTCTTTTTTGGTTCGACTTAAGGCTGTTCTTTGAAGGCTCTATCATCATAAGAAACAAAATCTTTCAGTGAATGATATGCTACATTTATAGCTGTTGTAAGCTTTAGCCAGCTCTTTAGCCAATGCTCTTTATACTAATTACGAAAATTGTTCAAACTATCAACGTGATGTAAAACCCCAACTTTGCGAAAATAGACAGCGCATGTGTTCCTAGTTTTTAATGTTTGAAAAAAAACTCCAATGCTGTATTGATTGGGTTTATAAATATATACAAAACTTGAGAATTATTCATTGCTTTCAATGTTTTTAATCCTTGAGAAATCTAACCAAATTGGCAATCTTTTTAAAAGCTAAATCATTTTTTTATAAATATTTAAGCTATATATTTGAATGCTTTGAATTCCAGACAATTCTTTTAAGCAAGATAGTATAGATAAATTAAAGCATTGCTCCAAGTATAAGGTATGCTTCCCTCTTTTCAAAGAGGCGTGACAGTCCAAAATGGGCCATAATTTTCTTCAGAAAATTGATTTAATTCTAGACAACCCTATCATTGGCTATCAGTTATTTTCAATGTTTTTAAATTACCTTTGAGATGGTCCAACCACATAAGGTGAGGATGCTTTCTCTTTCAAGTACCAGTTGGCTTATGCATTGGCAACACATTTTTAATGGTTCTAATATCCTTAGCTTTAATTAGATGTACAGCTCATCTTAACCTTTGACTTAATATTCATTTTTCTTGTTTGTTAATAATCATATTTAAGCTATAATTTTATTGTTTTGAAATCCAGACAATAATTGTAAGCAAGATACTAGGCATTAAGTTAAAGTTTTGCTCCTATTAAAAAGTAATCTAATTGTGACATTTTTTATAGTTTCTTGCAAGACAGCTTAGAGAAAAAACCTTTAATTCTGAAAATTGTGACTTAATGTCCAGCTCTTGTTTTACTACTAAAATTCTAAGAGTTCCTTTACTTGAACATTTTGATAAAAATGACCAAGTAAAAGAAAGATGATATAAGAAGTAAACTGAAAGAGGAAAAGACAACTAAACCCCTGAACAGGTAATTATTTACCTGATGAAGTGTTTCAAGACGAGAAAATAAACCTGATACATTTAGTAGAATAGCTCTGTTAGAATAAAATGTATAGGAAAAAAAACATACCTCTAGAGCGAGGGAGTGTCTCACTATTGCCACCATTTAAACGGCTATGTCTGGGAACAGTAGGAGCTGTTTCATCTTCAGAAAAGCAAGACTTCTCAGCACGAGACCATTTTGATTGCATCAAAAGACCCTCATTCAGAACAGCAGCAAAGTTTTTACGTTGCTGTAATTATTTAAAAAATATTTTTAGGCTAGTGAAAATAATATAAATATATGCTGAAATGCAATTTATAGACATAACAGAAAATGTAAAAAAGAATGGAACAAAACTGCAAAATTAATGTTAAGTATCATTGAATATGGCCTATTTTAGAACCTATAAATTTATAAGCCTTCAAATTGTGGTATATGTTTATGTTATGCTTCATGTTAATGTTATTTATAATGTTTTATATTAATATATTATGTTTTATTGACGCTAAATCATGCTTTAATTTTAAGGCCATGAATTTATAGGCATTTATGGTCTATTTGAAGATAGCTTGAATAATGTCACATTTACTATCTTAGGTTCACTAACTAATAAAACATACATGGATGAAAAATAAAGTTCATAATCATCATTTTAAAAATTATGCTGATTAAAATTTATAACTAAATCAGAAGAAATTCTTATTTCAATAAGCTCTGAATATTTTCAATAAGCAGCTGCTTAAAATTAGACCTTGGAGATACTGTCTCCTATCTTATGATGGCAGTATTAGAAACAGAATACAGACCAATATTCAAAAATATAGTTGCATAAGTACAGCAAGAATATGAATAAAGTGTAGTTATGCACAAAGATTTAATTAAAAAATAAATAAGTTTATTATAGTAAATAGAAATGTGATGAGAATGTGCTAAATTTTATTTTTAACTTACATCATTTTTTGTCTCAGCTTTGCTCAGTCTTTTTTCTTCTCGTGATGAGTTTCTGCCAGTAGGATCTCCAGTGTTTGCATAAATAGGATGTGGCACAACTGAAAAAAACATTTTTTTTATTCAACCCAAAAAATAAAATGTTTTTACTAATTTAAGGTAAACAATATTGTACAACATAAAAATGTCACATATAAATGAAATGTTCACATTTTACCGCAACTATAAAAACATAACAATAATATAAACAAATTTAAAGCAGACCTTGATCTGCAGGGATCATATTGAAGTCTGGGAGGCTTTTATTTATTTCTGAATAATGTTTTTCATGCTTGGCTTTAACTGATGCAGACTTTTCAGGTACACATGGCCTTGCTTTATAGGTGTCATAACTCCTAATGTTATAAAGAAAAACACCATATAAGAGCAATATTCAAAAGTTTTTTATTACGTGAAAAGTGAAAGAAATATGAAGCTTTTGTGGATGTTTCTAAAAATAAAATAAAAAAACTATCCAGTACAAACAACCAACTGAAAATATACATTAAATTTGATAACTTTTTGTTATAAAATGATTTGTTTGATCTTTATATCTTTGTTTTATATACATATCAAGAACGAAGCTTGGATTTATAAGTCAATTTATCGAAGAGAAAAAATAGCTTACTTTAATATGCTGATGTATTGTAATTATGGTGTCAATTATTAAAGAAATAGAAATTGTTACTACCACAAGAGTATTCCAGTGTTCTTCTGTTCATTATATATCATAATATGCTTTTCTACATAAAAAATATTAGGTTATGAAAACTAAAATATAGCAAAAAAATATAAGCTGGATGGATTTTAAAAATTATATTTGTATATTTAATAAAGATAAAAAGCAATTGTGATTTAGACTTGAGAACAAAAATAAGTATGGTAATGTTTGAAAAATTTTGGGAACAATTTCTTTTTATTTTACCATAGAATTTTTTCATGTTTATTTTTCCTTTTATGGAGAATGTTAAGTAATGAAGCATATAATATGGATAAAAATCTTTATTATAAATATTAAAACATTATCCGTTATTTGTTTTAAGACATAATTAACATCTTGCATTAAACTGTAGAATACTGCAACAAAATCTGTAATAGTTATTTTAGAGATATTTTTGAAGAACATACATGCATAGAATGCCTTATTTTTAACATATTTTGAAAAATGGGAAAGTGTAAAATAGCATGACCGAAACAAATATTAGTTAATATATGCTTTAAGGTGGAACAAAGCAAATTATGATGAGATAACTTTTTTTCGACCATAAATTATATTGTTTTTCCATAAGCTAGTATTATAAAAGTATTAAGATTATAAAAGTAATAAGAGAAAACAAACATATTCAGTTAATTTTAAGTTTATACAAAACTACAACTCACAACAAATTTTAAAAATGCAACAATAAACATATTATTGTACAAAAAGACTTCTACAATAAATTTTTATTAAATTGTGTTTATAAAATGTGGCAGAGTTTAACTTCTCAGATGTCATACAACAGATAGGAAAATATAAGACATGTTTTCCTACGAGACCAAATTCATTTTCATTGACACAGTTTTACACTTTAACTTGATCAAAATATTAAAAACTATAAAAATAATTTACATAAATTTAATAAACAAAAAGTAACATATCATGTTCATAAATATATAATATATAAATAACTACTATAAACCTTTCTGGCAATGATGGTTTACTGTAAATTGGAGTTCCAGGTTGACTAGCACAATTACGATCTTTAAACTTATTCCCAAAAGATTTAAAAGTCCCAACAGTACCATAGTTGCTTCTAAAATCTGAATCCTGGTCCAAAGGTAAGAATGTGTGAACTGTTAAAGCAGGTCTTGAATGATTGGACTTCTCATAAGCTAAAAGATAAAATTAAAAGTAGTACTATAACTTAATTAATTTTAATAATCAAATCTAAAAATTTTCAAAAGAAATTATATTTTCACATTGGTTTCTATTGATATTCATACGTTTCTATTGATTAAAACTTTTTAAGTTCCCTGGCAGGTAAAAATATATTACCAGAAGAAATAGTATGTGGTCTATGGTACTTGGTTAAAGCACTATTTTGCTCTTTTTCTGGAGATTCAGAGTCATTCAAATTTGGCCATGTAGAAGTAACAGGAGGTACAGGAGATGATGGCGTGCTGAAAGTTACTGTTTCAGATTCATGAAATGTAGAAAGCTGTAAAAATTCAAACATAATTAACCAAAATATATAAGATTTCGATAAATAATTTGCAAGATGTAATTATAATTTGAAATAGTAATGGTAGATAGGGTACATCAAAAAGATAAATATTCCGCATAGAAAACCATCTGTAAGTTGCTAAGGGCCCTTTCCAATTATGGGCTGGCTGTCTGTAATCATTTGAGAAGCAACTTTAAGGAGATAAAAAAAAACATGTTAGAAGACCTAATATAATAATCAAAATTTGTATTTAAATTGGTCCAGAAATAACTGTTTTAGCTTTTAATTTTTTTTGGCAACCAATTTGACCAGCTTAATAAAAAATTAAACTAGTTGTGTTTTAACTGATGAGCAAGAAGAGGAAAAAAAGGAGGTTAACCACATGCAAGATGGTTAGATAATGCATAAAAGTTTCTGAGCAACATGACAGTTAATAAAAAAAGAATAAAGGCGTCTGATAGAGCAGAGCAAGATGGATAAAGCTGATTGAGACAGACAACTGCCGTGGCTGCCAGTCTGATGTAATTCCAGTAGAAGAAAATGAACTGATTGAATATAGAGTATATGTGATAAGAATTGAGAAAAATTATTTCAGTCTTATTTAACTCTATATAAAATTAATTTACTTTTTTTTGAAGATCATGGTGAATGAAGGATTCAAATCAAGCGATAGTATCTGTTTTTTGAAGATGAGGAAAGCTTCAAGTACATTTGGGAACTAACAGTCAATGAATAACATTATAAAACCTGTCTTTGGAAACAAATTAAAACACAAAGAAAGGAAATAGCATGAAGCAAACAATTTAAGTAAGTAAAAATTTATAGAAATCACCTATAAGAAAATTGCAAGTAAGAAATATAGGCAATGCATAATGTTCATTACAGTACTTTAACATATAGACTTTTAGGGCTTTTTTTGTTAATTAAAGGCTATAGTATATTAAACTGACAGGTATAGGTAACCTGCACAATAATATAAATATAAAGAATCCACAGGAAAGGAGAATAAATTATAAGTCAATAACATATTGTGAATGAAACATTTTCTCCAGTTCAAGTTATTAAAAAAAATCCTAGTCAGAAAAAAAGAGGGATCATTAGAAGAATATTTATATTTCACAACATAATAAATACAATTTGTAAAGTGTTATCAGTTGAATGTATGCATCAAAAGAAACATTTTTAATGTGGTAATGTAGAAAATAATTGGCCAAAAAAACTTATTTAAAGGCCTATGCTTCTATATACAATAAATAAGACATGGATGTATAGCTTTAACATATTTTTAAAAGATAAAAGTTAATGAGATATATATTCCTAAATAAAATGAAAATTATGCTTTTCGAAAAAATAAGAATGTGGTTTTTAAATGAAAAGTGTTTCAAATTAATAAAAATAAAAATAATAATTTTTGGCGAAATAATATTAAAAAAGTGACAAAACAATAACAAACCTGAGAAGAATGTTCGACAGGTACAGACGGGTTATTTACATACAATGTGTCTTGAGAAGTAAATCCAGAATCTTGAGATGCAACACTATTTAAATGCTTTCTCCCTAAGGTCTGTATCAAAATTAAAATATAAACATGCAAACTTAAAATTGTTTTAAAAAATAATCAATTTAAACTAAAAAGTTAGAGAAGAAAAATAATGATATTGAGAACAGGGCAAAAAATAAAGAAACAAAAAATAATAATTTTAACTTCTTTGAGAACTACGATTTCTATTCAGATAAAAAAAAATTAAAACAAAAATGTATTTATTAACTCAAAATTAAAATTAACAATGGTAAGTATAAACAAATATTGTCTTCTAATTTTAAAATAAAAATTAAAGAAAAAATTCTTTTGTTGTAAAATAAATTTTCATAAAACTGACTAGGGAGATAAAGAGGTTAATGTATAAACATAATATAAAATAAATAAATAAATAACTTATAACTTAAATAATAGAAGAAGATAATAACAAAACCAAAATGAGATACTACTTGATGAGTTCAATACTCGAAATGCTGAAAGTGAATACAATATGATGCTAGATTTCCAAATTTTAGGAAATCTAATATGTTAGGTTCAAAAATTTACTGTAAAATTGAAAATGAAATTTTTAAAAATAGTACTCAAGATTTGTAATATAAATTCCGGGATAAATTAAAAATCTAACCTCTTATTGAACATAGAAAAATATGTGTATAAAAACCACTAATTCTCTAAACAAAAAATCAATAAAATTAGAGTACCTGAACATGAGAATGAGAAAGTTTCCTTGATGAATGTGATTTTAAGCTCCCACTGGAAGAGCTATTAATACTGCTTATGCTACAAAAACTTGATTTTCGAGAACCCAAAGAACCAGGTGAACCAGGGGGAGTCTGAAAATTTTCAAAATATGAAAAACATTTGTTGGGAAAAAATGTATTAGCAATAATTAAAAAGCATTATTGAGACCATAGATCAATAAAGCAGTTGGTATTAACCCTTGTAGTCGATATAATAAAATTAGGGGTCAATCTGAGCTGAAGGATTAATGAATATTATAGAATTATAAATTTTTTAACGCAATTATTGGAAGTTGATTACAAAAAGTTTGGCATTTCCTGATTTAGATTATGCTTCTATTTAGATACCAGCAACTTTAATTTATATTTCAATGCTTCACAAAATAAGACAAAAATTTAATGTCGATATCCTAAAATATCGTATAACACAATAACAAGATTATAAAAAAATAATAACTTTTATATTTATCAAAACATCAATTACCACATGAAATGACCAGGTATTTTCAGATTTTTTAGCATCAAGAATCACTTGCTCACTAGATGAAGGTAATAAATGTGGATCTACAGTAATTTTTGAAAGAGTGTCTATGATTTCTTCTATGTGATTGGTTTCATTTAGCATGACCAACTCAGATTCCTATAAATAAAAAATTGCAAAAGAATATTAATACTTTTTTTGACTTGATACAGATGTAAAATATGCACTTTTTTTTATACTTTTTTAAAAGTGTCACAAAATTATACCAATACATTAAAAAAAAAAAAAACTTTTTTTCCTTTTTATATGAATGCATATAATAATAATAATAGTAAATAAGTAATAATAATTAGCAAGTAATGAAAATAATTTTAAGTAAGTAATAATAATTATAAATGCATGGAAGATAATTTTTTTAAAAATTAATTCACAATTTTAAAAATGAGATATTAAAATTTCAGTAAAGAGCAAAATGGAATACACAAAACACAAATATTGTCAGATGCATCAAGTATACAATACATTTATTTTAATATAATTACAGATAATGGGAAGTATTCCATGCCATAGTGTTCATTCCCTTTGAATGAAAGGATATGAGTCACATGCTAATCTTAAATTCTCAAAAAGTCTTGAAATTTTGTTTTATTTCATTATATACATTTCATTGTTTCCTATATATAAAATTCTTATTTCATTAATATCATCAAGGTTAAAAAAAAGAAAAATATTTTATCTATCTAAGTTAAGAATAAAGCTAAGAAATTTTAAAAAAAGGAAACTTATGGTACAATCTAATAATGATTATTTCATCATTTAACTATACAGACAAAATAAAATTATGTACTACTAAGTATTTCAAAGAAACAAATGGTTAAACAATCTAAAATAATTATGTCCTCCTTATTCAAATAAGATATAACATAGTGAAAGAAAAAAATTTAAACGTAATTTTATGTCTATATAATAGAAAATGGCAAATAATTTTTTTTAAAAATTTCATATTATTTTCTTGTTATAATTATATTAAAGAATAATAACTTACGAGAACAGGTTGCAAATATCCAACAAATAAGCAAAATCTGCTTCTCTCTTCAATAAGGGCTTTTTTCACAGATTGTTTTTCAATTTCTTCAAGTAGAAGATATTTGTCGGTTACATCTTGAAGAGCAGAATCCAGAGTTCGTCTTATATCAATCACACCCACTACACAGAAATAGAATTTCATATATCTCAAAGTAGTAATAATTCACTTAAATAGTCTTATCAGGTTGGTTTGTTCTAGTATACATGTGAGAGCTTTGCTATGGATATTTTTAGCATAAATGTTAAGATTATATATCAAAATTGGAATTTTTTAAAATTTTCCTTTTTATACACTTTATGAAAAAAAAACATAATTATGTAAAACTACCAAACTATGAAGTATTAATATTCAGGAACCCACAGTAACAAATTGTCTATAAACACAAATGGAGTTAGAAATTTATTATCATAGAAGAAAAATGCATTTAATTAAAAATAAAGATATTGATTAAATTAGAAATTATACGAACTTGAGGGCATTCAATTATCGACTATGTCAACCTTCATCTATCAAAAGGTACTTCAAGATAGAATTGAGTTAACATGTCTTATATACTAGTGATTTGGTATTTAATATTTGTAGTGATAGTTACGTTGCAAACTCAGTAAATCCGGTAAATTAGTTTTTGAAATTTTCTTTGTTCACTTGCTAGAATGAATATTAAATACAGTCAAGATTCAAGTAAAGAGAAGAAGAAAAAAAATTTTTTAACCAACAATTAAATCTGAAAACAATCATCATAACTTGACCACTATTCAAATATTTTCACAATACCAAAAAGAGCTTAAATTCTAAAATACATTAAATTGCCTGAAAATCTAAAGAAGATTGAGACTTAATGATTTCATTTTGTAACTATAAATGAGAATTCTGAAAAACATTAACCACAGGAAATGTCAATATGTTGAAGTTTGACTTTGATAAATTGACATCTGGGGAATCTCTAACTGTAGCTCTCAATTCCCAGGTTACTGCACCAAGTATTAGCAATTTTTTAAACTACAAAATATATATGTACTTATAACTAAAGAGGCTTATATTTGTACATATATAGATATAACATACATTTGTACGGATATATGTACAAATATTTGTATTTATATAAAAGGATTTATATAGGTTCATAAATTTTTCCCTTACCTTTCCTTACTTTCTTTTGAAGTCGAAGGGTATCAGACGATTTCTTTTTTAATTCTTGCTTTGCTCGCTTGAACTCTAAAAAAAAAAAGGCATGGAACAAAATAATAATATTTATTCATATTTATGATAAATAAAATCAAATGGTAAATCAGGAATAATTTTTTTTTTTTTAAAAGCTATTACTTACCTTTTGAGTGTTCTTTATCAAGGTTATAGTTATTCTTTTTCCATTCTTCAATTTTCTCCTGAAGTGGATTAATCAGACCATCTTGCATGGTACTGTAATTAATCAATCATAAATGTTAATTAAAAGATGCAAAAATTAAAACAATATTTGATAACAGTAAAAAACCAAGTACCTTTTCTTAGTAGTAATAGGCACTTAAGATGAAATAAACTAATATATAAAATTTAAAAAGTACATTTAAATCCAGACAAAAGTTTTAATGAATTTTTAATAACATTAAGTTTGTAAAAAAATACATGTGAATTGAAAGATTTAAATTAATTTGAAATTCAGAAATAGAATTTAGTTTTGATAGATTTAAAGATTAAAAAGGATAAGCGAGAACATAAGGTTCAAAACACTAAAAATAATACACATTCGAAGGTTGGGAAGCAATAAAATGAACAAGTTTGTCTAGTAAGGTATTAAAATTTCGATACATAATTTCACTCAACTAACAATAATATTGTACTAGTACGATTCACTCTCAATGTTCAAAAACATTGTTTAAATTAAATATACATAAATGTACTTAAAATTATAAAAAATTTGGTAACATTTTTAACGAAATATATGCATTATTATAAAACTTATACACATCTATTAGGCGTTCCAAAAATAACGGATTTGAAAAATCAAAGAAAAAAATAAAGCAGTAAGAGATGTTATGTTTGCTGCATTCAGCTTAGAAAACCAGATACTATTTTCATCTAATTTCCAGACTAATTACAAAGTTCGTAGACAGATGGAACTGCTAATTAAAAATCTAAACATCAATGCTTCCAAAATAACCACCATGTGTAGCAAGAATGTGAGTAGGAGGCAGTTTGAGGGCAAACTTCACAGGTACCCATACAAATATTTCAGTTCATATATTTTAACATGCATCAGAAAACATTGATTACAATATTTTTCAATATTCAGTGTCATGTTGTAATGGGCTAGTTTTAAAATTTAGAAAAAAATTATGCAAAGAATAAGCAGAATGCAATAAACCGTATGCACACTGTACAAAGATCATTCGGTTTTTCTTAAATTGATTTTTTAAAATCTCGGTAATTTTTGAGTAATTGTGTAATGAGGAAAAAAAAAAAAGAATATCCTTTCAAAACATTTAAAAACTAAGTTGGATTTAGCATCAATAAATCATATCTAAAAAAAAAAGGAAATTTTTAAAAAATAACACTTGCTTAGAACAAAAAATAATTACTTAGAGAATATTTTCAGCTTTGCTTCAACACTTCTTTGCCTTAAACATAAACGCGTTAATGCAGATCCTATTTCTTTAGTAGCACCTAAAATAAAAAGTGAATTACAACATTTTAAATAGAAATTAAAAACATACAAACAAAAACTTAAGATAAAGGAATTTTTTTTAAAAAATGTCTGTGCAAATGTTTTTTAACTCTGAACATTTTAAACAAATTTATACCTGGAGTAACTAATGGTTATCAGATGTTAAAAACTATGCAATAAATAAATTCATCATCAGGTTCAATTTTCATAATTTGAGCATTAAATTATTTTGTTAATTTTAGCTATATCTAGCTTAATGATGCATCAAAGCTAGAGTTAAATTCTCAATGCAAATTCGTCTTCTTCCTTGTATCTAAATGTAAAAACGCGATCATGTTCATTGTTCTATGTTAATTATTACAATCGAACAGGAAAGGGAAAAACAAGAATATTGCAATTTATGATAAGAGAAAGCTTATAGATATAATATTGGGTACACTGACGACATATGCTACATAGTCAAGAGCTGTTCCAGCTAGTGTAGTTTCAAAAACTAAAAACTTGCAGTTTTTTTTTCTGGACCTATAATAGAAATGATCCTTTTGACTGTTCATTGATCTTTTTCAAATTTTTAATTGTTTGGTGTACACTGTTAATTGTTTGTTTTTTCTGTTCTTTTGTGGAGCAGTGGACTGCTATAATTACATGGATTAATTTCCAAATAAAGCCATATGTAGCACAATTTCTCATTCAAAAGAAGTTATCGAACAAAAGATTTTTTTTTCAAAAAATAAATGTGATGAATAAGATAGCAAAGCTCCCATTCACACCGATTGGAATTTTAAAAAATATACAACTAGCCGCCTGTGGCGACCAACTGGCCCGTCCACTCGAATAAATTGACCAGAACGAACTTTCCGTTTCGCGGCTCCATGCTTGCCTCTGCTGCCCTCGGCAGCATTAATGATGATTTATAGCAATGCTGCCGAGGGCATTAGTAGGGTAAAGTAGTAGTGTTAGTAGTGTAAATCGAAGAGTTAGAAATCTTTCTCGACCGAATCGTTTAAGGTGGACTATTAGTCCACTCAGACAAACTAACAGCTTAACGTTTCCACATAGTCATCCACCAGCATAAATTCATTCCTTCGTAGTTCAATGGCACAAAAGCCGGAATCGGCTATGATGCGCAAAATGCATAGCGGTAATTCGTGAGAACGTGTTCTTTAACATAATTGTCAATTAGTCCAATAGTTACCCAGATAGTAACGAAATGATGAAATGAAGATTTTTAACTTTGTCTATTTGTCTCTAAAAAAATTACATGATCTAAACATGATATATTTATTTATTTTGGTAAAAACGTGTTATTTAGCAGTAACGTCAACTTTCGGCTAATTACCCCGATAATTACAAAATATAATATCGAAATGAAACTTTTTTATTTATTTTGCATCTGATAAGGAACACATGGTGCAAAATCGACACTTCTATTTTAGTAAAAACGTCATTATGCATTACTGCCAATTACCCACTGCTCCTGATTTTTTAGATTATTACAAAATAACCTGACAAGAACAAAATATCGAAATTGAAATTTCGGCTTTCTAACTTCATGAGTAATTGGAAGAATTAATGATAAGAGAGCGAGGGACTTTCTTTTTATTTGTAGAGTTGCAATTTTAAAACATTTGTATGTCAAACTCGAAATTTTGAGCTTTAAAAAAGGCCTTTTAAATCGTGTTTAAGAGTAAATAATTTTATTTCGTAAATCGCCGAACGGCCTCTATGTTGGCCAGAGAGCTGATCTTATGTTAAAAAGGTCCCGGGTTCGAATCGCAGTAAGAGGCACGAATGCTCTTTCCTGTACTATCTGTCCTTATTATTGATGGGGCAACGTTATTCCACTTAATGTCAATATATTCGGGTGGGCATTCGAAAAAAGTATTTAGTACATCAAAATTATTACGGTCGTTATGCTATTAAAATCGCAAGGCACTAGAAGAAAATGATTTATGACATAATTAGCTTTAAGTTTCGATTTTATACTAAACACAGATCATCCTATCGAATCTGGATAATATCCAGATACTAAACATAAACATCCCTATTTAAAAAAAATATTATCCTTTTAAGAATCGTATAAATTTAATTACAGATATCTATAAAAGAAATTAACAATCAATAAATAAGAAGATATGCCTTATGTTATGGGATAGAGATTCTGTTTCATAGCCCCAAGTGAATGGTTCGTTCAAGTAGCATGACATTTGCAACATCCGGGTATACTAAGATACCTTTGGAAAAAATTATAATGTGGAATTCACAACGCAAAACAATGCTTTTAATTAAACGATAGTGTTGCCCACAAGTATTTCGATAAAAGAATATTTTTAAGCCTCTCTTTTTCAATATCTCATGAATCTACTCAATTGTTAATCTTTCTTAAGTATCACCATAATTTGAATCAAGTTCAAGAGGTTTCTTAAGATCTTTTAAGTTTGTTAACTCATTGAGAAATCAGAATAACTGCGGTTACTTTTAATTTTTTTTTCTTTAATGAAAATATGATAAGTGGCAGGGAAAAAAAATGATTTCTCATGCAAGGTCAAAATATACAAATCAGCTTGTAAAAGCAATATTTAATTTAGTGCCGTGTAATAGAAAAATCAACGTATGCGAAATAAAACTGAAAATTGAGAATTTTATAAATATGACATTTTTGTATGACAACATCTATGACTATCTACAGCAAAAAATAAATTTTGTTTATTAGTTTTTTAAAGTTCTGCTTTAGAGTTCATAGCATTAGCAATAGAAAGAAAACAGTAAAGCCACTTTTCCCGATGTCTATCATAAGCGTTAAAGCAATCTTACCAGATTTTTCAATTTAATTTTAATATTGAAGTACAGTTATAATGCGAAATTATAAAAAATAAAAAGGTCACATCTAAACGTTAAATTCAGTTTATTTCATTCGTAAAATGGTTGAGAGTTATTAAAACCAAATAAACGCTAACTAGAAGCTATTAGAAGGGTCACAATAGGTTCAAATTAAAAAAAAAAATCTTAAATATATTATTGTAATTAAATCGAATTTGCCATTATTACTAAAATAATGTATTATTTACAATACAACATCTATTTACCAAATCAATGTTTCTTTAGGATGGAAGGAAAAAAAATAGAAATTAAATGGAAGTTTTATTATTGTTAAAATCAATTTGTAGCGTTGATGAGAAGCCGAAATCATATTATGTTACTTCATGAGTAAGGTAATGAAATTAAACGGCATTATAAATTATAGCTGGGTGTTAGTCACAGCACTAATTTCTGCGAATTATAATTTTTTTTTTTTCGAATTTTTTCCGCGTTTCCAGAATTTTTTTATCAATTTTTTCGAAATACTACAATTTGAGCCGTGGTGGCTCAGAGGCCCCTCAATGAGGTGACTCGGGTTCGAATCTCAGCGATGGCTGGTCAATACAAATTCTGCACCCGACTCGCATCGACCACAGTGCTGACATAAAATATCCTCAGTAGTAGACGGATCATGGGTTAGAGTCCCCTTGCAGTGAGGCTAACAATGGGAGGGTTTCGTCTCCATGCAACGCAAATGCGGGTTAGTTCCATCAAAAAGTTCTCAACGAAGGTTAATTTCTCTTAATATTTGATTCATGCCTTGCCGTTGCCTTTTCGATTGGGTTCAAAATTACAAGGCTACGGAGTTGGTACGTTCATTGGTAACGGACCGTTCATTTTCAACGGAACATTGGTAGTCGTAAACTCAAAATTGGATCGGTTGTTGAACAACGGTTATAAAATAAAATAAAAATACTATAATTTGCGCAAGGATTGCAAAAAAAAAAGAATCTTTTGAATTAATTACTTATAGTTATGGCAAGAAGCATTTTTCTGTAGCTTTAAAGTTGATAATGTATATTGATTAAAAAAAAATATTTAGAAAATAGTTCAATAGCCTTGGGGTCATTTTTAAGAGAATCCAGATGTTCATGGACGAACGAGTCAACGAATTTAATGCTTATAAAGCACCGGTTAATGAATTTCGCGAACGTGAAATTGATCCTGTTTTGAAAATCTAAAACACAACTTCATCCTCAAGTGGCTATTCGATGTTAGTCAGTGCCTACAAATAGCGCGAACGTTAAAAGATCGTTAACGAAGCATACGTATGTGTGAAACAATGGAAAAAACGAAAGATAAACAAAATACTTTAACAATTATATATTTTGCTCCAAAATTCTGTTCCTTTGAATAAAAATATTAATATTTTATAAAATTAAAAGAAAAAAATTTTCAACTCTTTTGTAGGCTTTTATTTTGTTATTTGTACCATGTTTATATCTTTCAGCGCATACATTATATATATTATTGTATTTATTTATTTGACGTACTAATTTATTTATTTATTTGCATTTGTGTTCCCACGAATCTTTCAAGAAATTCTATCCTTTTTTTCCCGCGACAAACTTACACCCATATCTCACAGTTGGTCAAAATGTAATTGATAACGGTAGTCATTGCTCTGTAGTCAAAATTACATGCAAATGCGACTACTTGTAATCAAAATTACAACGGTATATAAGGGCACAGTGGTTAACGCACTCAGCTGTCATTATGGAACCTATAAGTAGCGATTCATACTTCATCTTAAATCTTTTGAACAATAAAATAATAATATTGTTCGATTTCACTTAAATCATTAAGATGGTTTGAGTAATTTCTTTTTTACAGAAACTGACCTTGGTTAGAAACCCAATTTTACTAATTGGGTATACTATAGCCTACGTCACAGATCGTGTTATTCCTACTAAATTTAACTAGTAAACAGCATTTTCTGCGAACCTGATTTCTAGCAACAAGTAAAAGCATCAAACGAAGTGTCTTGTTATAAGTCGCTACTCGCCAGGTTGGAATTGTATTAGTCTAGTTCAGGGGTCGCCAAACTTTTTTGATCATCGACCCCTATATAATTTTTCGAAATCTCCATCGACCCCCACAAAAGTAATTTTCTGTTAATTAAAATAAAACTCTATTAGAT